TATATACGTATTACATAATCACTAGTAGGGCTTCAATTGTGGGTCTTGGTAGCACTGACCGTGTAGTTTCTATTTGTGGATATTTTGTATCTGATTTTACGGCTGCGATGCAAGGTTTATCCTGTTCTACCGGGGTGTACCCATTCTGTCCATTTGAGCACACAATCGAAAGTGCACCAATAGTTGTGCAGTGGTGCTATTCTGTCCTAGTCAGTAGCATCTGTGCGTCTCATTATAATCACGAAGTATTATATCCCTATTCATGTGTACTTTTGTTTCCAGGTACGGACGAGAAGGCCCTTATCCACGTGCTATGTAATCGCACCAACGCACAACGCCAGCAGATCAAGGCCACATATGCCACTAATGTTGTGGGGCGCAATCTTGAGAAGGACTTGCGGTCGGAAACTTCCGGCGGGTTTTGGGAGACACTCAAGGCCATGATGATGACACCGGCTGGATACGATGCAAAAACACTCTACAAAGCAATCGATGTATGTGTAAGAGTCAAGCACACGATGTTTATATGGCACAAAGCATACGTACGACGCAAGTGATATATGTACATTTGAATTTGAAAAAGAATATTGTATGTATATATCTCTTTCTCTGGTTACCCTGTAGCTCAGCTATACTGTCAGCTCATTCTTCGTGAGAAGTTCAAACGATCAAAACCATTTGTTAGGATTGCGAGCGACCTACTATCTGTACTAGTCAGTGGCATGAACGACACATCAATGACTGTATTCTATTGTGTATATCGAAATGCAATGCAGGGGGCGGGTACCGCAGAAGAGGACATTATTGAAATCTTAGCCACTCGCAGCCCAGTTGAACTGGAGAAGATCAAAGCCGAATACCTAAGAGGTGTGCTCATTGTCATTTGTACGAGTTCTTTCTTTTGGATGCCTAGCTATTGTATCCGGATGTTGGCCTCGGTCTAGTTGATAGATTAGCCATCTACTCTTGTTCTCGACTATTACCAACACGCTCGCATCCCCTGTACATATGCCAACAGCGCAGCAGAATACTAGAGAATAATAAGCTGGGGCACCTGTAGCAAGCAGGCGTATTCGTACATGTTATCAAACTTGCACAGATGGCAGTAAACCCTTGTGCAATGTCTACTCATCACGTTTGACAGTATACTAGCGCACACCGCCCACACGTCACAATGAACATTCCAATCCACATACTGCATCGAGGCATGTATCGCGGCTGATAGGTGCTGAACAAAACTTCGAAAAGAATCTATGCTTTTAGGGTTTAGGGTTTAGGAAAACCTCAACTTCTATAGTCTGTTTGGCAGCTTCCACGTACACTGCCAGCACTTCTATAAATGCACAAGCTGCTTATATTGCATATTGCAGGGTCAGTATGAAGATTTTGCACTATACAAAATTCACACCTTTCATGTATTTGTATATATAGTGCACAAGAAGAATTTGGACTCGGAAATAAAAAAGGACACCTCTGGACACTTCGAGAAAGCGTGTGTTGCTTTGCTGGACACAAATCAACGCAAGCACACCTTCGCGAAACCGGCAGGTGTGTGTATGTGTGTGAGTGCGGAGTTGTGTTCAAATGGGTATAGATCAATAATCGTCTGGTTTGTGTTGTGCGATCGTACAAGAATTCGCAGCCCTGTGCCGTTCGTTTGCCGCACATAAAAGTCATGTTCATACTTTTTATGCGGGCATGATTTCGTTTGTTGATGTATACATTGCATGTGCTTTCAGGTCGCTTAGGGTTTTATAAAACCCTAAAACCCTTATGGTAACCACGATCACGTGTTTATCGTTTGCGTTCCTGTGTATCAATGTCTGATTTCCTTTTGTGAGTTTAGTGTTCACCTTGCATCTCATCCGTACCTGTGTGATTAAAGTAAAGACGTAAAGACAGTCAGTTGTATCACGCACTATCATGTCAGCGGTCGGGTGGACCTTGGAAGTACTACAACGGTTGTCAGTGATATTAGTCGCTCTGAAGTAGCAGGCGAACGTTGTTCCTCCTGATAGCAGCCTCGACGTAGGATGAACATGCTCGTGCATTTCCTTCGTTCCCGACACACAATTTTCATCACGAAACGGCTGCTTCTGAGATGCCATCTATTGATAGTCATATGTGTTCATTTCCTACGGAACTCATACGGCATACAACACAAAAATCATGTCTAGCAACGAAAAACACATTTTTTTTTAACTTCTGATTCATATCCAAAGCACTTTAACAGTGATAACTGCCAACTCGTCTCCTAGATGCCATTGGTTGATGCTGCTCTATGTTGTACTTGATTTCTTGTAGAAATACATTTTGACAGTGACAGCTAGGCAACCCATCGTATGATGCCACCATGCTTAAACCATCGCTTATGCTATACGCACAGACCAGCAAACGGCCTTAGCCGAGGCTACTCGCTTGTTCAAGGCGGGAGAGGGTAAAACGGGCACAGATGAGCAGACGTTCATCAACGTTTTGTGCTTTGCGAGTCCCCTGCAAATCACTCTGATTGCGCAAGAATACCTCAAACTATGTCCCAAGTACACACTGGAGGCCAGCATTGATCGCGAGTTCAGCGGTGATATCCGAAAGTATGTTTATTTGATACGACTTCAGTTGAATGTGTTGTGCTGTTTGTGATAGCAACCTATTCGCTTTGCATAATTTGGTTGTCGAATAGAATCAGCCTGTCACTATATGTATGAATGGCCTGGTTAGATGATGAGCCTAAGAAGTGCGCTTAGTTCTCACAAACAGACCAATTTTGATTCTACATCCGTAAAGCTAGACTAGGTAGAATGGTCAATGAGTACACTGTAGATAGAAAATAGCTGAAGTACATCTAAATGTACCCATATAGACAGAACACTCATAATTATAAATACGGTATTGTTCTGCCACAGGCTGCTGAAGTCGATTGTGCGCTTTGGCGTGAATGGACCGTACTTCTTCGCCAGTGTTCTGCACAAGTCAATGGACGGCATAGGGACCACCGAGCCCACACTGATCCGTGTCATGGTCACGCGCGCAGAGGTCGATATGGAGGACATTAAGCTCAGCTATAAACAGGCGTACAAGACGGATTTGGCAAAGGATATTAAAGGCGAGATCGGGGGCGATTTTGAAAAGATCATGCTCGCTCTGTGCAAATAGAGGGTTGGGTTCTGTATTGTATACAGGTGATTCTGCCGTTGTATGGATGCGGTGGGGTCTTCAATAAAGCTAATGATAATATATGTCGCATCTGCCACCCAATGTGTCTATATACAATTCGACTGATCTTACAATATATTAAGAGAAAAAACGGCCATTTATATTCATGACAGTATAAAGATGTATTGTCAACTGCTCGTGAATAATCCCGCTTCTATCGTTACACAACCGTCACTATAACAGTTGTAAACCATATGCAATTGTCATTTCATGTTGAAGATAGACGATGGTACTATTCATGAGATGCGACATTTGGCTGGCAGAAATGAACACGAGAGTAGGTAGTTTCGACATAGGAAAACACGAAAAAGTTGGGTTCTAGGGTGAATTGGAATTTAATACGTCCACAGTGAGGATCGATCAGTAATTCATAGTATCATATAATGTATACAGGACAACTAACGAGAGTGAGTAATATTGTACGTTTTGATTTTCAGGTTTGATTGTGGTCGTATCTGACCATACTACCGGCTGAGTAGTGATTCGAAAAGACTAAAGTTTGTGATCTCGATGAATAAAGGGTCGAGGGATCGCCATTTCGTAGTGAATCATGAATGGGGGCAGCTGGGAACCAAAGCAATAAGGTAGAGTGTTCCAGTAGCAGATTTGAACGGCCGACTATGAGTGAACGGCGAAAAGATTTTATTGGGTAGGATTGTTATAAGTATGGCGTTGGGATGCTGGTACTGTGGAGGCGTTACAATAAAACCAACGACGGTGAATTGGAGGAGTTAAGAGTCCAGTTGTGGACCGTATTCTGCCATTTGGGATCCAGACAGCATCAAAGTGGGTCATATTGTGCAGGGGTGTTGGAGTAAAGAGTTGGGTAGGTTAGAGGGAGTGTGGGTGAAATACCCTGGTGATGTATAAAAGTTCTAGGATGGAGAGTAAAGGTGCGAGTACAGTGATATTTGCCCTCGACGTAGTGGAGTTGAAAAGTTGTCCATTTTGAGATGCCAGGAAGTATTTGAGATGGGAGTGAATCACTGCTAGCTGAATTCACGCATCATTATTTGCCAGCCATGTCATTTAAGAAGTTGGAGTGAAAAGTTGTAACTGTCGAGTCTAAATTTTTCGAGCATATTTGCCCACAATGTACTTCAGCACCATCGAAAGCCATAGTAAACCAGAAGGTCTGTATGACCCTGTAAGTTCCAAAGGAGCTGGATAATGATAAACCTGAATATAGGGAGATGTAAACCCCCCCCCTTTTTTTTGTGCGCTCGACCTGTTTGTGACCTACTGTGTTTCTGTGGTTTAAATTCGTTGGCCTTGATTGCCGTTTAGAAATGGATTTGATGGGTGAGGCCATGATAAGCGAGGCACGGCACGAAAACACTCACCCGATGCCAGATGATTGAGATCAAGAACCAGCGATTTTAGAGAATGTTAATCAGCCAATAGAAACCCAGTGAATGCGATTAGAATTCATCAATTGGATGTTTTATTGGCTGGTGGGGCAGTTTTTCTAATACAGACAATGGCTGCACATTTTAGATTCACTTAGTTTAGCATTATTACATCAAATAGATGATGTTGTGGATATCTGAAAGCTTTGAGGTGACGAGAACTATGATGATATATAAACTATATACGATCTTGGATTGCGCAGAGCATCAATTTTGTGTAACTGGGGTGTAGCTGGGGGTCCGCATGAAAGGTAATGAGACAGGCCATTTGTGCAGCTTTGGTAAGCGTGCCGGCTACTGTTTTCAAGAAAGAGCCAAATAGAAGTCCTTCAAGAATCCCAATCTATATGTGTCCACTGTGAAAGCTCGTCGTGAGATCCAGGAACAAATCCACACTCGCTTTTGTTGAATTTTACAAGCCCATCCTTTACAGCAATTTTGGAGTATTCGGAATGTGCTTGTGTCGTGGTGGCGTACTCAAATGTTGTCAGCGAGAAAGAGAGAAGTGTTTTTAATATATATTCTCTAATCGCTGAGCGAGTGGGTGAATGTAGACAATGAACAGGAAAGACATAGTTGGTGATCCTCGCGGAAAGTCTACTTTGTTCATCTAACAAGTCTATCCATACTTTAGTCTAGCACTCTCACATTCATCTGTTGAACGAATACTGTAAAACAATATATATACAGAGAATATTCATTTCATGTCTATTAGAATGTCCGATACTTCATGGATAGAACGGCGTAGGGGTAGATACGTAGCACCCGCTAACGTGTTGGGGATCTCGAAGATTATCAAGAAGTGGAAGTAAAAATGCACATCCCAGTGTAATATTCGGTCTATCAAGGCGATATTAACGCCTTAGAGTAATTAACCGCTTAGGTTAAGTCTAAGTATAATCAAATTCGAAGTAAATAAACGAAATGAGTCTTTTAGTAAGTTAGGTATGCCTCGTGAAAACAGCAATACTCTGAGGGATTGTGAGGCTGATACATTGCCTATATATAATCCTCTCAGTACTGTTTCCGCCGAAGGGATTTTATTTAGTGTTTCGTTGTCGCTCTATTAGAAACTATGGTATGTTTCATTGGGGCGAATCCGAGAAACTCATAAAATCCTATCTTTAGAAAAAAAATAGAAAAAAAAATACTCTTGATGTCCATAGTTATTGCATTAACCAATAGCTTGCCACTTATCAAGAATTACCGACTTAGCCTTCATCAGACTGGCACATCTGGTTGGCTGAACGGAGGATAAACAAAGCAACGCTAATAGTCCTTTGAAACCTAAGATTTCCGGGGCCCAGGCCACCACTCATTATTTCATCTCTCTACTCTCACTTGTGAGTAGGTAATTGAATCCCAGATACCGTGTGAATTGAGATATGACTGGTCTATCTATAAAGATACTACTCAGGGAGCACTACGAATAGATAAATGGTCATCCATATGGCTGGAGGGATCAATAAGTCAGCTACCGCCAGCATCCCCTTACATTTTACCCAGTAGACTACTGGTATAACCTTAGTCTTCCCCACATGAAGGTCATTATTCACACCCCTGCAGATCAAGTGTGATTTATAAACGCCATCTGGATCTCTTGACCCCTCCGGGGAGAGTAGCTATCTGTCCGCAGAGTATAGTCACTACCTGTCTACAACCGGTCTCCCTTCTTCGACCAAGATAAACTAAGCAACGCTAATAGTCCTTAGAAACCTATGTTCGGTTGAGCCATCTCGCTACCGAAGTATTCAGATATAAATAGATTTGGAAGGTTAATATAGTTCTATTAATAGAACTAGACCAAATCTTATATTTGGTATTTTTACCGCGGCCTTTTAATGGCCTTGTCCAAATATCTAATATGTAAAAGAAAAGGTATTTAATTAATAAAAACCGATAAAACCCATTTAAGAGTTTACGTACCTTTAAAAGTACGTTTTACGTACTATTAAGAGTACGTTTATAATACAAGATTCTAATGTGGAGGCCCGGCTTTTACACCAGAATTGTGATTTCGCATGTTTAGACAAAATCAGAACCCTACCCCTGTCTGGGTGTGAATAAATGGGCGGTGATCGACAGATGATGTTCAGCCCCTGCGTTTTCTCCAGTCTACGGTTGATTGAAGGGTTGTACCAGCATTCCGTTATAATAATAAAGATATAGGTTCCTTTAGCGTGCCTCGAGTGTTGGTGCATTATGTTCATTGAGTCCACGGTAATTTTGCGTCAGAACGTGACATAAACCACTCTTAGAACTATTTATTACTAATGAGTTTGGGTGTATTTTGTGTGTGATAGCCATATCTTGTAACTATTTAGAGTCTACGGTTGATTGAGGGGTTGTACCAGCATTCCGCTATAATAATAAAGTTATAGGTTCCTTTAGCGTGCTCGAGTGTTGGTGCATTATGTTCATTGAGTCCACGGAAATTTTGCGTCAGAACGTGACATAAACCACTCTCAGAACTATTTATTATTCATGAGTTTGGGTGTATTTTGTGTGTGATAGCCATCTCTTGTGACTATTTGGCTTTGCCTGGAGAGTCAGTAGACGGTAAACGCCGATTTTCCTGATTGGACACGGTCTTGACAAAACACTATGGTAAGGTTATAGGTACGCGCGTAAGCAGTGTTGACTCTGATTGTGTAGGTGTGGAAAGTGCAGTGTCCATTTCGTCACTTGATAATACTTGTTGTGAAGTTATTTTGGTGACTGGGCAGTTGCTGTAAATCCTGAGATCTCTACTTCTGAGGGGATCTCAGGCGGTGTATCTTGGCGCGCAGCCATGATTCGAGTAGTAATTAGAGTATTGACTATGTTCACGTTTTGGTCAACATACTTTATAGAAGCGATATTTGCTCTGGATGAGTAGATGTGGAAGTTGTAGAAAGTGCGGAAAGTACTATGACTATTTCGTCACCTGGGATACTCACCTTAGAGATGCTTATATCTGAGCAGATGTTTTGATATATTGCCCGAGTTTCGAATTTCAGGGAAATCAGATATTGTGTCTGGTTGGCCGTCATGCTCCGGGTAGTAATTAAAGTGTTGGTTGTGCTCACATCCTGCTCAATTAATAGAGTAGGTTGTGTAGTAAACTGGAGTGCTTTCATAATGTGCGTGGCTTTGTAGTATTGGTTGGTTGGTTCAGCCATTCACCAATCATTCACCTAAAAACCCATATTGGTGTACGGTTTATAGTGGGCTGAAATTTAATGTACTAGTTCGGGTATACAGCCGGGTATGTTAATGAGGTCTTGCCAATTAAAATGGAGGCCATGTTTGGTTCCAAGGCATAGGAACCTGAATGTCAATATGAAAACGTTCGGCAGGTCCAGTGACGCTGTCAGAAGTCTGATACTATATTCTTTTCGCCTATCTTGACCTCGGGACAGACATTGCAGCGCTTTGTGTGCTAATTCTGGGTCAGTCTTATCAAGTGTGATGCAGTCTGAAGTGTCGAACCCAAAGTGACAGCAGTGCGAAGAAGTCCACGGAGGGCAAATAATAAATTTGCCCAAGGAGGTTTGAACATACTAGTGGTGCCATGTTGACGAAACGTTTTCGCTGTGTTGCGGACGATGTACGGCTGACG